CCAGATTTACCAATCGAAAACGCCATATGTAAGACTAAAGCGATAAAAACTATTCCATCATGGGAATTAGACGATATACTGAAACTAGAACTACTAAAACTACTACTGTAAACTTACTTAGTTATAAAAAGTAAAGACCCAAAGGTCCATTAAAACGTTATATAGAATATGTTTTCTTTCTGTAATTAGTTTAAATGAATATAGTCACTAACAAGCTTAACAATATTCCAATCTCGTAAAAATCACAATAGAAATAGTATCTATATGACTGAATCTATACATAGCGGCTACGCGCGAATTTGACAGATCGCGTGTAAATGTGTCATGAATCCAGATTTATTAATCAAAAACGCCATTAGTGAGATAGTTTCGAATTATTTATATTAGTACCAGAGGAAAATTGAAACTGATAACTTTGAGGATTAGCTCATCATGTCACACTCAATTAATTTATTATAAACTATTTTTTAATTGTTTATACATATTTATTATTAACGAATTAATAATTAATTATTTTTTTAGGATCTGCCAAATGCTATGAATGCGGCTGAAATTACTGATAAACTTGGTCTACATTCGCTAAGAAATCGCAACTGGTATATTCAAGCGACGTGTGCAACTAGCGGCGATGGTCTCTACGAAGGTCTGGACTGGTTATCCAATCAACTTAAGAACGCCAACCGTTAAGAAAAATGAACTTTTGATTTTAAATATAAAGTAAATTTAATGAAATTTTCAATAAAATGAAACAACAAATAAACCACAAACACAAAAGTACATTTAAATTCAATTTCGGTTTTGAGAGAATTAAGAGAAAAAAAATACAAAAACAACATATGAAAATCGTCGCTCTAAAAACAACAACAACAAAATTTCAAATAAATTATAATATAAATTTATTAAAATCATAAATAATAATACCGCTGATACAAGAAAAGGAAATTTTTAAACTTATATATAATATATATTGTATGTTAAAGTAAAAAAGGTAAAAATGCTATAATTATCGATCCAAGTTTTTCTAAGTATATATATATTTTATCTCTTTATTTTAATATTTGTAATTTCTACATAAAAATATATTTTTACTTTTTCGTTTATAAGAACAAGAACAACAACAACAAACCTAAATAATGTAACAAACGAGAGAATATAAAACAAAAATTCGAAATTTTTGATAACAGACAGTAAATATAATAATATATTCTAAACAACAAAAGAAAAAACAAAAATAGCCTATAATCAAGCGGACATTATAGGATTATTATATATAGTAAAGTATATGTATCTTAATGCTAAATTAGTAAGGAAGGTTAATTTCTTTAAAATACATTTAATTAAATATTCGATGTTGTCTTACTTAACGTACTACATTATTTGCTATATTTCATTCAATATATTTTATCTTAATTTGCTGTTCGCCTGGGTAATTGTACTTTTTGTGCATAAACATTTAAAAACATAAAAGAACTTATAATTAATTTAATGGTTTTAATTTGAATTATTTAACTTCATACGTGTTTAAGCAGTTTATATATAAAAAGAAATTCCTCTTATATAAAATAAAGTAAAATATAAAAGTAAAAAACTCATTTAATATTAATTTCAATATATAAAACAAAAAGGCACCGCAATTTATAGCATATGATGATGTAATATATTTAAAAAAAATCATGTAAAAAAAGAAAATTGCATAAAATTAATAAAAAATTGCGTAAAAAATTGAAAAATTTACGTAAGATTATTTGCTTTCTTAAGATGTCAATATCAGTCCATTAAATACATAATATACAGTGCTTCTTCGCATACTTGAAAGCTGGCTAACATAAACGCTGAAAAATCTGACTGCATTAACCCTGAATTATGTAAAAACTGACTTATATGAACGCTGAATCACGTAAAAACTGACTTACATGAACGCTGAATTACAAGAAGCCTTAAATGGTTGCTGAATTACGTAGAGACTGACTAACATGAATGCTGAATTACGTGAAGACTAGCTTACATGAACGCTGAATCACGTAAAAACTGACTTACATTAACGCTGAATTACGTAGAGACTGACTAACATGAACGCTGAATTACTTGAAAACTGATTTACGCTGAATTACGAGAAGTGTAGCTGACGTACATGAACGTTGGATTGCGTAAAAGCTGACTAACATGAACGCTCAATTACAAGAAGCCTAGCTTACATGGTCGCTAAATTACGTAGAGACTGACTAACATGAACACTGAATTGCGTAGAGACTGACTAACATGAACGCTGAATTACGTAAAAACTGACTACATGAACGCTGAATGACGTGAAGTCTAGCTTAACATACATGAACGCTAAATTATGTGATGATTTTTTTCATTTACATTCACATTCACAGCCCTAAGAAGTGAACAATCCTTTAAACCGTGAACAAAATTGTTGACCCAAATTAGTTCAAGTTTTCGAGTAAGCACTGTACGTAATATTTTAGTTTTATAATAAAATTCATGTAGAAGAATTGATATTGCTCTCATTATTCTGACTGCATGATGAAGAGGCTTCTTTTTTAGAGCGTGGATTGGGTTGTAGAGATCGTTTTGTATAGCAAAGCTCACCTGAGCAACAAAATAATGGACTTTTTTAAAAAAAATTAAAACGATTCTTGAGTCTCAAAAAAATTGATGTTATGGTTATGATGGTAGGCCGACCCAATCAATCGTAGTGGTTAAAAACCAAATTGACTCATATATTTTTTCTTATAAAAAACTTCAACACGATTCTTTTGCTAGTAATCATTTTATTAGAAAAGTGGAATTATCTTATATAAGCAGGACTTTATAAAAATAGATAGTTATTTGAGGAAGTTATATATTTTTATAGAAGTTATTAATATAGACCTTTTAGTGATTTGCTGATAAAATTTCATAGCATTTTAAAAAATACTTATTGAAAGTAGGTATATATTTAGTGCTAATAAATGTCAATTCCATGGTGACCACTCCTCGTATTCAATAATAGTGCGTTTATCTTATCTCTACATCAGTTTTACGTCAGTCTTTCAGTCTTCCTTCTATCACTATAGAAGGAAGCATCCGATAAAGAAATCTTGGTTAAAAACTATCATCAATTCAATTCAAGTTTAAAATGATTTTTGTTAATAACATGGTAGATTAAATAAGTGGTCGATAAATGGTTAGCCCATCTATCGATAATCACACGCCAGCTACATCCAGTATTCATCTAATGTGTAATTAGATGATCCTGTGTTCTAATGAAAGCGTTATTTTTGTGTTGAGATCATTTAAAAGAGTTCGACCATACGTCAGTTCACGATCTAAACACTTTTTGATATTCTTTTGGACTGAGCAAAACATTGTACCGAGTCGGAAAGGGAGTATTTCGAATAATGTTAAACGATTTTAGTAAAAAATTATATTCTTATTTGCAGAAACATTTGTTTCTTATTTTTAAACCCGCAGATATCTTACGTCATGTACATATATAAAGAACAACA